ATCATCCAGTTGTTGTACTTTTACATAATGATAGATGGCTAAAGACGATTTCGACGAAGTTTAATGAAGTTTTGAAACAGTGCAGTATATCAGTTTATCTTCGATATTGTGTCCTTCGATATTTCGTCAAATTGCCGCCATTTTAATGGCTCGCCGCTTCTCTGCCCGATAAATGCCACTTCTTCGTCTTCCTGTGTGTTTATATTACAGTATCCAAGAGTAGTTGAACGTTGAATATTCCCAATCAAAAGAATGAAAAGATTAGTTGGGTTTTGATTGCAAAACCCTCTAGGTAACCATTTAGGTTCAAAATAAAATACAAAACATTTGAAAGTCACGCGCAATCTTCACGAAAACTTCTCGTGGACACATGACAGGGGGGGTTGAATATTTTCACGAAACGTTTGTTCGCCACCACAGCAACCCAAATAAATATATTATATTTATTGTATTTTTGTGATTTATAATAAAAACAATAAATATTTGCGTATTTTTGCCGTATATTTTTGTGGATTCCTTTAAGCGTTAACGACAACAAAATCCGAGGGGCCGTTGCACCGTCATTTCAAGGTTATTCTATATCAAATATGCACATTTCAGCTCTCAGACGTCGATTTCTTTACTCTGATTGGTAATATTAGTAAAATACTAAATCGCAAGTCAAAATATACTTTCGACACATGTTCAAAATATTCTTTCACTACTTACCACTATATCTGTACAGTTCCAACAATTTCAAATCACGCTGTTAATCTAACCAGCTGCTAATTCTTGGAGATGGATTAAAGGAATCCATAAAAATATACGGCAAAAAATACGCAAATATTTAGTGTTTTTATTATAAATCACAAAAATACAATAAATATAATATATTTACTTGGGTTGCTGTGGTGGCGAACAAACGTTTCGTGAAAATAGAAAATATTCAACCCCCCCTGTCATGTGTCCACGAGAAGTTTTCGTGAAGATTGCGCGTGACTTTCAAATGTTTTGTATTTTATTTTTTACCTAGAGGGTTTTGCAATCAAAACCCAACTAATCTTTTCATTCTTTCGATTGGGAATATTCAACGTTCAACTACTCTTGGATACTGTAATATAAACACACAGGAAGACGAAGAAGTGGCATTTATCGGGCAGAGAAGCGGCGAGCCATTAAAATGGCGGCAATTTGACGAAATATCGAAGGACACGATATCGAAGATAAAATACACTGCACTGTTTCAAAACGTCATGAAATTTTGTTGAAATCTTCTTTAGCCATCTATCATTATGTGAAAGTACAACAATTGGATGATGTGTGCGAGATTCGGCGATAAAAAGCAAGCAAGACGACAAAATATGGCTGAAATCGTGTTTTCGTGGGGGGTGAGTGAATTAAAATGTATTATATTTACAGAAAAGAAGGACAGTCCTTATGAAAACTACAATAATTATATTATATTAAGCATAGTTTTTCATCCCATGTTTATTTTTTTTAGGAAATAAGACCATTAAATTTCTGCCAGGCATATTAGTTATTTTGTGCATAATCAGCAATTTACCTGGGGTGGTGCATAGTCATTTTCTGGTAAAACATTATACTTAGACAAATTTTTCCTTCCAATGACCACCCCTAAAAGCAACCCTTCTAAACACTATAAGCACTTCAGAAAGGCTGTCGCTTTTGCTTTTCGGAAGTTAGAGCTATGTCGGCACTGCCGTTTCAGGGCGGGGTCATTTTCAGGACTTTCGCCCCGGATTCAGGTTTTGGCACATATGCCATGTTGACCGCCATGGTCATTTTACCCTAAAACAGTTGAGATTACCTGTGGTAAATGAAACGCATACAAACTCCTATACAGGTCCTAGACTAATAGGGAAAATTGGGTCGTTCCAGAAAAGATGCACACTCCCCCCCACGGAGGAAAATTCTGCCGTCCGGAGGGGGAGGGGAGACAAAATTGTTTCTGATAATAGTAAATGTATTTAGGGCATCCGCAGGGGGTAGGGGGGTTAACTTCCAATTTCCTCCGTGGGGGTGGTGTGGATGTTTTCTGGAATGACCCATTATAAGTTTTTTGTTTACAAACTGGCTTGAGAATTTCAATATGAACTTTTGCACTTTGCAACAAACTTGCCAATTTCAGAACGAAGTTCAGAAAGCGTTTGTCAAAAGTTTTATGAAATCATCTGTAACTTGATTTACCAGTACAGGAGATGCCTGGAGTCAAAATGTAGTTGAAAAAAATTCCAATCAAATTTTAAAATTTCCAATTGGTTGGCATTTTTCTGATCAATTTTGAACATTACAAAAAATATGCGGTTCAGGTTTCATATCCTGAAAAAAGTAGGATAGGTAGGTTGAATAAAACAATTAATTTTCTTCAAATAGTTTTTGGCTTGACAATAGTCAGCAATATTGCCATGATTATTTGGCATTTTGCCACAACAAAACAGTATTTTTAGCATCAAGTCCATCATAAAGCAAACAAAAAAAGGGTAGGCAAGTAAGCAAACAACCCAACCACATCTAGAAAAGAGAAAATAGGGTTGGCTGGAAAACCGGAACCACAGGATATTGTTTTGTTTCAGGCTCTGATGTTCATATTGAGTTTTACTAGCCAAGCTATTCACACCTTCAGTAAAATTCTCCTAATTTTTTTGTAGAATGATGTACAGTGCAAGTTCCAAGAATGTCGCAAGATCTCATGATTATAAAAAATGGACACATTCCAAGATCCCTGAATAAGAGGTAAATGATTTTTCTTCTAATTATTTCTAACCTTCTCCTTGTATTTTTTGGATAATTGTGTTTGTAATTATTAATTTGTTTCATGTTCTCAATAGTGAGTTTTTTAAATTTTCTAGATGTGTGTTGCAATTTCAAAGAATGTCTCAAGTTGTTGGTTGAAATGTTTTTGATCACAAAAATGAACACTGTCCATTGGAAAGTATATAAAAGGTCTTAATATTTTCCTGTCTTATCTTATATGAAATGTTTTGAACATTATATGATTGCCTGTGATCAATAGTTTCAAAAATCCCAGCAGAATATTGCAAAAATAGCATGACACAAAATACAACAAAAATACCCAATCTTTACACCCAAATATGGTGAGTGCACAAAAATTGCACTCTTTTTATTCTATTATTACACCTCTATTTTGACCTGTTAATATTTGGAAAATTTCAGTTTTGCGGTCCCTCAATTACTTGATTGGGTTTTGTGTTACAACTGATCACAGAAAGTCTATAATTTTCAAAGCAATATATAAGCATTTTATGAGCAAGCCAGAAAATGACAAACATGTTTTTTTAAAAAATTGTTTAACAGAGATGATTCGGTTTGGACATGCTTTTTTTCCTGTTTGGCATAAATAGCTAAATCTTAAAGTACAGAATGTATAAATTTGTGTTTATCTGTGTTCTATCTGAGAACATAGTTGTTTCTACATATTTCCAAAGTTTTTCTCAAATATAAAATATGAAATGTTTGTCAGTATTTGGCTTTCTTACATCAGTTAAACATTGAGAAGATTGAGGTGGTTTTTATTATAAACCAAAGCAGTTACTTGCAAATAAGACATGTGACTTTATTACTTTTAATTCAGGATTGAGTATTTTCTTTTAGTCATCTTTCATTTTTCGGTATTAATTTGGAGTATGCTTGCATTAAAGGATTAAAAGAAGTTAAGAACGTTGATGAACATGTTTTGAACGTATATCGAAGTTCATTGTGAAAACAGTAAACTTATGTTCCATCTCAATCTTCTCTTGTTTAAAAGGACTTTGAGTGTTTGTTGAAAGTTTGGAAAGTTCATCTGAAAATCACAATGTTTCTTTCAATGTCGATCCTGGATGTTATTCGAGTCTTCAAATATTGAATCTTACAAAAAGCAATTAGTGATCAACTGAAGTATACAATACTTTTACAATTAGCACTGTTAGAACTGCCTCGTTGTTGAATAGTCCTGTCTTATTTATCCCAGCACACTCTTAATACATGAGTTTGATTATTCCTGGACACAAATAAAATGGATTTGTTCAGGAACAAGGCAGTTTTATACAGTACTGACTTATAGGAGGATTGTGTTCTTCAGTTTGGTTTTCAACAAAATTTGAATTTCGGAAACAAACTTTGTGATTTTTAAAAATCTTTCCCAACTTTAAAACAAACAGTTAAGGTTGAAATAAGCTAAGATATTGCCTTTATATTTCATTACAAAGTGGAACTTATTTGAATATGGATGAACTGAAGCTCAGCAAACTATACATAATTTGGGGGGTAATGTGAGTTGGAGAAAATAAAAGAAAATTGATTCTGATGCATGGCAAGGAAAACCACAACCAGACTACAGGATGATTTTCTTTGGAATATGTTTTGTATTATAGCTGGGAATGAAAAGGAATCGGCATTCAAATGTATATATTAATTGTTTGGTAAAGCAATCCAATAATTGGAATATTGAGGCTGAAGATAAGATCGACAGTTCTCTGTGCTACGTGTTAATCAATGCATAATTTGATAAGATTTGAATCAAAATTCAAGCACGGAATTAACCATATTTTTAGTACCCATCAAAATTTGTGTGTGTTTCATCACACACAAGATAGGCAATGAGTGAGATGTTCTTTATGTACCAAATTATATAATCTGAATAAAAAGGTCTAGATTTTAAAATTCTATTTTCATTTAAATAATCTGACTACCTGCAACTCTAATTTATTTAAGCTTGAATTTCATATTTTATTTTGAATCAGATTCAATTAATTGATTTCGTACTTTGTGTTTAGTTTGGATACTGAGATGAGTTACAATTTTTATTGGCTGGTTGTGTTTAAAATTGTTTGGCAATTAAAATTAATTTGTTAGTTTCCTATGTTTATGTGTATTTCTTTTGCTTCAGTTCAACATTATATTCAAATAGTTCCACTTTGTAATGGTGTGTTATAATAGTCATAATAATAATATAAGCAAACAGGTTCACATGGCACTCGAACATGGTCTTTTCAACGAGTATGTAAAGGTAAGTTTATACTTCAAAAAGGTCTGTTTTTAACCTGACAAGAATGCTGTCCAAAATTAACTAAAACTCGATCTTTGTGACTTTTCAATGAAATTTCATGTGTTGAATTGACAACAGCTACTACTGTATATATCTTTTGATGTTTGTGTTTGAGCAAAACTGTTTGTCTACTTTTGAGTTTATAACAAAGTATACCCAAAAGGCAAAACTTATTTGCTGTTTTTTAATTACGCAAAGCAATACGCTCTTTTCCAATTGAAAATTTTCTTTTGGTTTTGACCAATATAAATAAAAGTGTAATAAAATAACAAAATATTTTATGAACATTGAAAGTTTGATTAAACCATATTTTGTGTGTTTGTGTACATGGTCGTACATGTTTTAATAAAAAAAATTTCCTGAACTACTGAAGTGTTTTTTAAATATATAAATAACACAAAACAGGACAACTTTTCCAAGGGAAATTTAGGAGTTTGTTTGTAAAATAGTGGATCAATGTGTATCATTTTATTTTATTTATCGAGGACGAGAAATGTACCATTTTAAGCAAAGCAAATTGAAACTGAATTTTTGTTCGAAAAATCAATCAGAATTGGATAAATTTTTAAATTTTGTCGAACTGCATTTTCATCACTTGAATTAGTATTAACATTATATATAATCAATTCAAAGTTGTCAGGTTAAAAACGACGCTCAAAGATATATGGCTCTGAAAGACCGGGATAATTTCAAATTCTTAAATATTTCTTGATTTGGCACTTGAAAGAAATGTTCTTATATATATGTTCAATTGAGTATGGAACCAATGATTTAATCGTAATGTTTCGATGTTTAAAAATATCATTTCTGTGTTTAATGGAGTATGCTGTCAATGCATTGTCAAAATCACAGAATAGGAAGTTATACCAGAAGCGTAACTCTAGTCGTTTCCCTTATTGTTTGACGTCCACGAAAATTTTAACTCGCTCACGTCATGCCACGCCATCCTGGCTAGTACAGCCGGAAGTTTTTATCAGGATTTGGTAGGTACAAAGTGCCGGTTGTACTAGCCAGGATGGCGTGATTGATGACGAATCGCTTGTAAAAACGCGGACAAATATTTGCTCGAGTTACGCTTCTGGTATAACTTCCTATTCTGTGTCAAAATGTTAAGGCACTTTGTCTTTGAGGAAATTAATTTGCTTCAAGCAATGCCAATGGAATTTGTTGTCAACGACAATTTCTTGCCAACCACTTGACAACTGATCTCGCATTACAACGAATCTAAACATCGCGATAAAATCATTATTTTCCATACTCAAGCGAAAATTTTGGTCACTTTACCAAAACAGTTGTATTCAAAAAAGTAAAAGCATGTTCGATTTACTTTGTTTTTGAGCCATATATTTTCTTTGTAAAACAACTTGGTGTTACGCTTTCGATTTCTCCGTCAAACCTGTAAAATTTATCATTAGAGTTGTTTTACAATATTTAGTTTGAAGTATAAACATTTATCTTGAAAAGACCAGGTTCTCTTGTTTCCTCAAGAATTAACTTTAATGTTAATTCGTGGGCAAGCAAGTTTTTTTAATGTTGTGTTTTCACTTGTGCTTATTCACTTGTGTTAAACACAATGTTAATTGTTCTCTTTGTGCCATGTTCTGTTTTCTTCTATTGTTATTTAAATAAGTATGCAGTGGTTGTTCTCTTTTTATTGGTATTCAATTTGTAATTACAATTCTTTTCAATAAATTGTTCATTAATTATACAAGAGACTCCTTTTTAATTAAAAATTCAATTCCCATGGGAATTGAAAAAAAAAATAAAAAAAATTCCCCTACCCCGGCCGGCTCCCCAAGTGCTACCTCTACTTCAAGTAGAAGCACTTCTACTATGCAGTAAAAGTACTTCTACTTAAAGTAGAGGTAGCACTCGGAGAGCCAGCCGGGGTAGCGAGGCGAAGAGAAGACCAACCTAGCAAATGCTAAATAATGCAAATTGCTAAGTCGATCTTCTCTTGAGAGCAGCCACGCGCATACCTAGCAAATGTAAAACAACAAGCATTAGTAACAAATACTCGGCATGCAAATTTTGAATCCCATGGCCGAAATGACAAGTGCCCCCCACTGATTCCTGCCAACTGCCTACCTGCCTCAGTCCTAAGCTGTCTCCCTTGGTCCTAAGCTGTCTGCCTCGGTCCTAAGCTACCTGCATTCCATTCGTAACTTCCGCTTTCCTCGCCATCACACAGACACTCACAACTGCCCAACCTGCCACCAGCCCGAACTGCCCACCCTTAAAACTGAAGGAATTAAAATTTTGGTAAAGTATACATAATTAATTTCATTAATCGGATATTTTAGGCCAAACGTAAACAGATAAATTAAAGGTTGACGATTAAGAAAAACCGCGTATACAAACAGGTGAGTTTCTTACTTGCCTACCAAACTTCGAAATCCGGATTTTTCCTTCTATTTACTTTTAATACTAGCAGATTATAATTTTAGTATAACGAAATTCAATAAATTTTGCTGATGTTGGGAAATTAGACCTTTTGTTCAGAAAAGATATATTTTCTCTTTAAATATACTCTCAAAATTGTAATTCCTTTAGTTTAGCCTAAACCCCATACATCCTATGCACACGGCGCACACTCTCGCACTCCATACATTTAGCTAATAAAGTTACGTTATAAACAAAAAAGCAAAATAAAAAGATAAATTACGTTATCACTAGCTAGCCTATAACCCACTTAGACTGAGTTTTGGATTCTGGTTCGAAACGTAAAATCTTAACTGAAAGGGCATGGGCTTGAGTTTTGTTAACTGGTCCGAAATAAATACAAACCTTAAACTTACCTAAACCAAAGGCTCGCTTAAATAAGCATGAGAATTATTTTAAAACTTTTTCATAAGAATTAAAAATCGAAACAAAAATTACAATGTCGCTAATTTAGTGAGCATTCCGTACTTTTTATATATCTATATAGTTCAAACAGATCGAAACAGACTTAACCGCAATTCTCATACTCATTTAACCGGAACGCCTTGATGATCATTTGCATGGCACGTCTCAAGCTGCTCTCAGCTGCTCTCCTGCTTACAAGTAACAAGATACTTATCATATTTAATCAAAGAGGATTCATTATAAAGTCAAATTTCCACTATGAAATCAACATCAACATGAAAACAAAGCATATATTCCCCTGGGAATTAAAAATACGGAAAAAAATAAAATTGCAAAATACCTTTACGCTTCGCAAAATAAAAAATTGCATGGAAACAGAGTATAGTATATTCCCATGGGAATTAATTAAACACACGAAAAATAAATCAACCGATTTTTAACTTTTTAACGCTTGAAGTAGGGTTGCTTGTTTTCATCGTATGTTGATTTCATTGCGAATACAAGACTAGGGACCGCATCTCACAGTTATTTTATTATCAACACCAACTGACGATGGAAAAGAGGAAATGCTTGGTGCAGCTAGATTCCAAGCCATGTTTATTTTACATTAACCAAGGGTGACGCGGATTAATATTTTGTTTTCAGAAAATACTACAAACGGTTCTCTACTATGATTTTGGAAACTTTTTTGTTGTTTTAAAAAAAAAAAATGATGAAATGATACCTTGCCATACAGACTATATAGCTCTTCGCAAAAACAGTGCGTTGTCGCGTTTTTGAAAGTTTTACCCAAACGTTTTACCTGATTTTGAAAGCAGTCATTTCTATACTCCGAAAATTGGAAAACAAAGTCGAAAAATTCTCCAATCTCGTAGCATGTTTAACTTCAGAGAGAAAATCATTGTATTCACTTGAATCCCCTTTGATCTTTAAATAAGTATTTTGTCTTTAACTAACTTACATTGGTAAAATTTTTCGCTACTTTCATTTTAGCAATGTTGTGGTTTCCGATTGTTGCGAATCGTCATTCTTTTCTCGGCTCCATGCCATTCGTGAGTGGTTCTTTTTGGTCTTTTCATCATCTCTTTTCATCACATAAACATTTCATGATCACATCACCTTTTGAAATTAAAAAAGTACCATGAGTCCATAAATAGGATCGAATCATGTTAAAGGCTGAGTTATATTTGGTAGAGAAGAACCTATTATTAATATTAAATATTACCACTAATAATAGTGTGGTAATATTAATTGATCATTTGAAACATGAAATATTGATGTATATATCATTAATAATGTCGATGATAGCCTAGACCTAGCCCTTTACACGGCAGGTTTTTGTCAATTTTGGGCTTGCATTTGGTAAGTATGACGTCATATGCTTTCGCCCATCCCCCGCCCCAGAGGCACGTGGGTCCCAGTGTTCTCGTGTGAAAAAGCGCCGAAATTTAAAATAGATGGTCAAGGTGTAAGCTGAAATAGAGTGTTTCATGTGACGTCACGGCAACTATGTTGGAGGACAACATAGTTGCCATGGCGGAATTCTGTTGCCATCATACGGTCACCCATTACTAACACCGCGGAAAAACGTCTGCGCATGCACCAAATTATGAAAATATGGCGGGGAATTTGAATATCAATTTCTAAAACAAAAACATGCTTATTAATTGGTCAAAAATTAGTAAAACAAACGAGAAAATATAGCAAATGGGTAGACTAGACATTAATTGAAAGCGTCCTGGCATTTAAAGTATGGAATGAAATATAATTCATGTAAAAAAAATGTTGATTTTAACGGACACGACTTCGAAAATTTTTGCAAAATTATTCAAAACAAAAATTCAAACTAAAAAGTTAAGAAAACTCTCGAAAAGTTAAGCTTCTTAACCCACTCAAATTCTAGAATAAATCCTAAAGTTTAATTATTGTGAACACGCAATTTTTTTATATTTGGCGACACAGTTTTTTTTAAAGAAATGTATCTCAAACGAAAATTCGGAAATTGTCATTGCTTAGTTGATAAACAAAATGTTTCAGACAATAAATTTGTCAACAATCACCTTTAGTTCATGTTCTTGTGCAATACAATTTCTTGAACCTTCTGGCTGTATTTATTTCTAGTTTTTAGAATGGCATGTTTATTTTTGCGCTTGAAATCTGGCTGTAAAGACGCACAATGAAGTCACTCCTTTTTACCGCCATTTTGAGCCTTCGGAAACGTTCGGAACAGCTTCTCATCAAGTTCGCAATAACAAGGGCAAATAATGTTAGCCAATCAGCGCGTTTGTTTACATTTTGCGTTCTTGACCAATCAGAATGCCTGAAATTCGAAACATGTAAACAAAAAGAGTGAGAAAATAACACCTTGTTCTACGCCCTCGGTGACATTCGATATTAAACTTTTTTCGCCAAAACTGACAAATTCTGATAAAGCATGCTTTCTTCTTTAATTTCCTCGGGGGGATTTTTAAAATTCGATCTAGAACGCGAAATATTTATGTTTGAATAACAGTGTTTCGACGCGCGTAAAATAGCAGACTCTCACTTGCACTATCTTTACACACACATAAAAAATTGGTAGATTTGGCAATTTAAACTTATTTTCCCCACACCACAGCTGACATGTTTTTAAATATTACCTATCTGATCTCATCGATCTCATTTCGCATCGGAAATGCGTAACAACGATCCAGGACTGACAGGTACAATATCGCATGACTCATTACTGTACATTAAAAGTACATATCCGGTTGGCAAAATGGCGATTGTCTGACTGACCTTCGCGAAGGGCTTAATATTTTTGCTAATAAACTGTTCACGAGGGTTTCGTTCTGTTCGTCTTCTGGTTCGTCGTCAATCGTCATCGGCTGCCTCACTTTCTTGGTCGCTTTCGTCCTCTTCAAAGCAAGTCGCCGGGGCAATCAGCGTTTATACTATTTGCTGTCTTTCGAAGACCTTCCAAGAGCTTCAACATTTGCCAACGTTGTTGCTTCACAAACTGGGCAATCGCTGATGTTGGGCAGGATGCATTCGATGTGGAACGTAGGTCCACAACCACGGAAAACGTTCCAAGTGGATTAACCTTTTCGCAGGCAGGCAAATCGCAGGTAAGATTTATATTTTATATTTACAGATCTTGATACATTTATAGTCAGCCCCCTTGGTGATTGTTCCAAAATATGAGTGTGTGCCAAAGTTAAAATATTACTCATAATCTCCAGAACATGTTTGGAGAATGTTTTGAATCACTGCAGTTTAGAATTAGCAGTCGTTTTAAAGACAACAGAACTGGCAGCCATGGGACCCCATAACTATTCAGTGTACAATACCAGACAATGTAAATTACCACTTCCCCCAACCCAGAAGTAGGCAGTTTTTATTTCCCAGCACTGCATAATCAAAATTGCTGGATTGTATAAATGTCTGGCTTTGTCTCAGTGGCCCTGCTTTGCCCCATGAACCCCACACTTTCTAGATTCAAGCAAGCAGGGACTTATATTGACTGGTACTTAGGTCCTGTTTATATGGAAGCCAGGCTGGCCCGCTAAGTGAGACAGCCCGGTAAGCGAGATCTCGCTGTGTAGTTATTTTTATAGTAAAAATTATTGTGCGTTTATATGGGCAAGTGGGCTGGCCAGGTTGCCGAGATCTCACTTGAAAAGAGGTGAGATCTCACTTGAAA